AGTACATAAATCCGTAATATAGTTGTTTATTATCATGATAAAGTATGATGTACTATACATAAGCTTATGGGCTATACTGTTATATGATTGGCAGCACAGTAGGCTTGTTAACACCAGCATCACCACAGACATGTATTGCTTTATGACCTTATGATGGCTATGACATCACTAGGTGGTAGGAATTTAAAAAATATATATTTTTATTGATTTCAGAGAGGAAGGGAGAGGGAGAGAGAGAAACATCAATGATGAGAGAGAATCATTGATTGGCTGCCTCCTGCACGCCCCCTACTGGGGATTGAGCCTGTGAGCTGGGCATGTGCCCTGACCCGGAATTGAACCTTGACCTCCTGGTTCATAGGTCAACGCTCAACCACTGAACCACAACGGCCAGGCTAATGTTAGTATTTTTTTTAAATGAAAAAAACCAAAACCCTAGAGTCCTACCATTTTCAGTTATACAATTATGGCATCTTTAAAGATGTTTTTTGTATCTCCATTTTGAAGGTTTGTCTCTCCTATTTCATTTTCATGTCTTATTGCTTTATTTTAGCCTCTAAAAGAATGTTAATAATAGTGATGATAGCAAGCATCTCTGTCTTGTTTCTAAATTTGGTGGAAAATGGCTTTACTACGTTTCCATTTTGTATGCTGTTTGCCATGCTGTTTTAAGTAGCTAGCATTTATTGTTCTCTGGGGAACCAGTAAGGTTGAATAAAAACCAGAAGTGTCCTGGGGGCCAAATTCAAATAATATTTCAAGAAGACAAGAGTGATTAACTATGTCAAATGCTGGGTAGGTCAAGTTAAATAAAGCCTGAGAGCTGATCATTAGATTTAAGGACATGGAGGCCACTGATGACCTTAACGAGAGCAGTTTCCATGGAGAGAAGACTAGAATGGAAAGTGGGTTAAAGAGAGAATGGAGGGGAGGAACTGGAGACAGTGAGAAGAGGAGCGTTTTGTTTTGCAGGTTTGTAGTTGGGAGAGAAGCTGGAGAGGAATGGAGTCAAAAGAGCTTCTTCTTTTTTTGTTTGTTTGTTTTGTTTGTTTTTTAAAGATGAAAGACATTAAACCATATTTGAAAGTTGCTGCTTATGACCCAGTAATAAGGGGAAAGTGATGAGCAAAGAGAAAGGAGAGCATTTAGAGTGAGATTCTTGAAGAAGTGATGGGGCATAGGATCTTGCACACAAGTGCAGGTGACTTCCAACAGAACAGGGCCGGTGTTATCTCCCATAAGAGGGGGAAGGCAGGATATGATAAATGGGGCGGACGTTGGTAAGCAGGTCATTGTCAATTACCGCCCCCTTTTCTCAGTGTAGTTAAAGATTTCCTAGGCGATTCCAGTGAATGCGTAGGTTTGGAGTCACTGGCCCATAGCTAAAACCAAGAAACCCAGAGAGCCTATTGCTTCCTTCCAAATCCATGCCTGTGTCTTAGATCTCATCTCCCTGCTGGTGAGAAAAGGCATTCCCAGAGCCACCTGGGGTGAAAGCGAAAAGGGAGTTACCTCTCATTTCTAGACCTTAGGTGTCAGGCTGTGAGAATAGCCCCAGGCCTGTCCTATCTTCCTAGACAGACAGACTGCACATATGAAAAGAGAGAAGAAAAAGAAAAGGGGTGGTGGTGAGAAAATTAGATAGATTAGGGAGGGGGTGGAGAGAGAGAGAGAGAGAAAGAGAGAGAGAGAGAGAGACCGCGCCTCCAGGCAACAGAACAACCCAAGAGAGGGAGGAGGACATCTGGGTTATTTATATGCCCCTGGTGTGGTGACTTCATCTTCTAGAAGCCAGTTGGTTCCTTAAATATGTCCAGTCCTTACCCCTGGGAGAGAGGCCACATTCAAAGTCATTGGCCCTGATGTCAAGTTGCCTTGGAGTAGAAGAGGTGGGGTGGGGAAACTAATAAATCTAAGTTGCCTCCACTCTTCTACCTGGACCCAAGTCAACAATGGGTGTCATAAAAGGTGAATTTGGCCAGCACAGTTGTCTTAGTCTGTTCTGGCTGCTACTGTAGACTGGGTGGCTTAAGCAAACATTTATTTCTCACAGTTCTGGAAGCTAGAAAGTGCAAGATCAAGGTGCTGGTAGATTTGATGTGTGTTGAAAGCCGGCTTCCTGGTTCTTAGACCACTGTCTTCAAGGGTGAACTGTGGTAAGGTACTAATTCTCTTCCTGAGGGCGCCACCTAATGATGTAATCACCTCCTGAAGACGCACCCTCCAAATACCATCACATTGGGAGTTAGGTTTCAACATGATTTTTTGGGACACACAAATATGTCAAATTTTTTTTTTTTTTTTAGAGAGAGAGGAAGTGAGAGGGATAGAGAGATAGAAACATCTATGAGGGAGAAACACCATGGATTAGCTGCCTCCTGCATGGCCCCTACTTGGGATTGAGCCCACAATCTGGGCCTGTGCCCTGACCGGGAATCAACCGGTGACCTCCTGGTTCATGGGTGGATGTTCAACCATTGAGCCACACCGCCCGGGCTCAACAACATATTAAAAAATTACATATAAATACCCTAAGCAAGGCAGGCGTGCTATTTTCCTGCTCAATGCAGCAACTCCTACCCTGTGTCCTCCACAATCACCACAGATGTTGGCACAGCTGGCCTAGCCACCAAGGTGCAGGTTGTGGAAGTGGGGAAATGCTGGTACACTTCCCCCGACCCCCACCCCAACCCCCAGAAAAACAGAAGTCCTAAAATGACTTAGTGACCTTCCCAACTCTGGGCTCTGTGTGGTTATTTTCTGCTGACTGACCGCTACCTTGGCCAGCTGTTTCTTTAGGAATCTTCCCTGGGGATAAAAATAAGAAAGAACCTATTTGTTTCCTGATAAGAACATCCACAGGAGACCCTCTGCATGTGACACGCATGTGCTGGAGGGTGCCTGTTCATTGTCCTGGCCTTGTGCGGTCACGGACTCCAATATTAAAATGCATGTTTCACACCCTCGTCCCACAGTGGAGAGGATGGCCATTCACTATGCATGAGCCATTCACTCATGCTCATCTCATGGCGAAAATTACATTTTCCCAGGTGCCAAGTGGAAGAGATAAATTATCGCATGTGGAAAGTGCATTGTTCCCAAGAGCAGCTCCACGGACCCAAGATGCTGATTTAAAACACCCGGGAGGGAGACTGGAGCTTTCCTGCCTCCTGACGTCCTCCCCGCGCCTCCAGGCCCTCACCCCAGTGGGCTCAATGTGACATTTGACTTCCTGGCTTTTTGTGTGGATAAAATGAGTGCCCTGGGGTCCTCTTATTCTTCCTTCCTAGAAAAGTTGTTGTAAAAATGAATAAATCAACACAGAACAGTTCACACTGATGCACACCCACTGAAGTGATAGTACTTATTTACAGTGAAAATTCAAGAAGGGAAACGTTAAAGTGCTCTCTTTGGGGAAGACACATGGGAACGCCTTAGCCATGGATGTACACACATTTACTTTTTACCCACTCTCTCCTTATCCCTACCTGTTCTCCTTAGGAAGGTTCAGATAACTGTCTCTAAGTTAGCATGTAATCTTTAACCCACTACCTACATAATATGATTTATAACCCACTACCTACATAATATGATTTATAACCCACTACCTACATAATATGACTTATAACCCATTACCTACATAATATGCTTTATAACCCACTACCTACATAATAAGTACAGCTAACATTTATTGCCCTGCAGATGGCCATCATTGTCCTACCTACTTGATGCATGTGATCCCACAATTTAAAATGTTTATGTTTTTGCCCACGTTATAATTAGCACAGTAATAGGACTCACGGGTTAATTTTTTCCGACAGTTATTGAGCACCCAGTGTGCACCTATTGAACTGGGCTCTGAAGGTGGTAGTGTTGGCGGTGGGGGATGAAGCAGAAAAAGCAACATAGTACCGAGCAGATCCTATGAAGGGTCAAAGTGAGGTTCTCTCTGGGAATGTTCTGGGAGTGGGGAGGAAGCAGGGCTCATGGGCAGCTGAAGCCACTAATGACCTCATTATACAATATTTAGGTGATCACCTTTTTCTCCGCCTGGAGAAGTGGCTCCTCCACCATCCCGCTGGGGTGCACGCACCGAATCGGCGTGGGCCACTGTGGATCTGTGGAAGGCACCACCCAAATACCAGGTGTGACCAGTGCCAGGGGTTTCTGCTTCCCTTTCCTCGGGCTTCCAAAGTGTCGGTTCCCTTCTGCTAGTTTTGTTGGTTCCCAGCTGCTAGTTGTATCCCGGCCGTGCAAATAGACAGACTCCCAGCCCGGGCTCGTGCACTCTGCACCCCCTCGACCCTCCTCCCGGTTCCGCCTC